TTCGGGGTCCACAGTGAAATGGCTTCACAATCGCGAATCCACAGCGGTGTGACATGTATACCATGGTGCGAGGGGACAGTTCCGGTCCCGATCAGTCCTATCACGTTCTTTTTTTTTTGTTTTTTTTTTTTTGTTGTTTTGTTGGGTTAGGCCCTTTCGGTCCAATGAGACCATTTCAGAGCCGGAAGGATGATAGGATATAGGGGGAGACATTGGTCTGGGCAGGCACCCTAGTGAGTCGCCGGGGCTGAGCCCGTCCGAAGACAGGCCGCCCAGCCCCAAGGCACTCACTGCACCCGGCTACGGGGTGCGCTCCCTTGGGAGCAGCGGTGCCGCTCCAAGGGAGCAGCCCGCATGAGATAAAGTTGCCTGTCCAGCCCGGAGGGGGGTTGCGGCGTGGAGGAGAAGGATTTCTGTATCCTGAGGATAGAAGCACGGAACGGTGCGTTCTTTGGGGGATCATTTTCAGCCATCTGTAAGAAGCTCCGAGCTCACCGTGCGCATTTCCGGCCGCCGTGCAGTGGCGCCCTCACCGGGAGAGCGGGGAGAGCGGGAAGCTGAGGTTTTAATATTGACCGTTAGATGTCAGCAGAGGCTGCAAAAGCGTTCCGTGTCGGATTGCGATGCTGTTGGATGGAATGGATTAGTGAAAACTCGGCGGTTAGTCCCACCCGCAGACTGCTGGTCCTCTGGATGCCGCCCGGGTGGAGTGTCTGTCGCTCTCTGGTATTGGGAGTGTCACCGATGGTCGCTGCCGACCCCGTTTGTTGATAGGCTGGCTGCCACTGGTGTTGGCTGGTCACTGCTGGTGCCGTTAATTGTATCGTAGGTGCTTGTTGGTCCCTATCGGATGATTTTCGTGTCCAGCTGTCCTTCAATCCCCTGTCTGTCGTCGTCTGGTGAATGTTTTTCGACGGTGACCGGCATTTGGTCGGGGTTGGACGATGGTTAGTGGCTACTGGCTACTGATCACTGTGCGGACGTCATTCGGGCGCTATTCGTCACCCACGGATCATCCTGGAGCCTTACCATGGAGAAATCCGCCATGGGCAGAGCCATGCCAGGGCTCAGCCTGGCCGCGTACAGTTGTGCTCCAAAGGGCGCTGTTGTCTTTTGCAGCGCCCTGCAACCGTCTTACATAATGTTCAGGTTTGTGGCGCTCTCAGAATTCCGCAGACGAGCAGCATTTGTGAGCTTTCCTGCTTATGTCTAGCCTTGGTGGTGGTTACAGTTGAAGATAGTCTCGTCTTATCTAGGTGCCGACGGTCACACCACGGTACTGGGCCCTTAGCCTGTGTGTTGTACTGAGCATCCTTCGCACTCCAGTGGTGTCCAATCCTATAGACACGGGGACTAGTACTGGGTGCCCTTTGCTCGTGCGTTCTATTGGTTCTGCAACGTCATAGGATGGCAGAGCGCGGGTTAAACCCAGGTACTGATATCGCTTGGGCCGTACCCAAGCTGGCCAATGGTGGAAAATCACAGATTGGGCTTGGTAGGGCATAGCCCAGTCCAAAACCCACCTCCCCAAGCTCAGCCCGGGATAATTTCTGGTTTGGTTGGTGCCATTCACACCACAATGCTCGTTGCTTTTCCGTCCCACACTGATGCTGCATAACCGTCCTTTTCACCGCCTGGTACAATGCACCCTCTGTCCGGTACAGGGTACGGTCCACCCGGTACAGAGTACTCACCGCCCGGCACAGCGTACCTTTCGCCCGGTACAGCGTACCTTTCACCCGGTACAGCTTACCCTCCGCCTGGTACAGCGTACCCTCCGCTCGGTATAGCGTACCCTCCGCCTGGTACAGCGTTTTCGCTCGGTACAGCGTACCCTCCGCTCGGTACAGCGTACCCTCTGTCTGGTATCTACAATCTACAGCGAATCCTCCGCCTGGTACAGCTCTGCCCGGTGTAACGTACCCTCCTTTCGGTACGAGTACAGCGCTCCGCCGCCGCCCGTCACTGGCTCCGCCGTCGAGCGGGCGCGTTTTCGGCTCAGTCGGTCGGCGCCGGCCGTACGGTCGACTCGCCACCCGGCCGACACGCGATTCTCGACCTTATCGGTCGCTAACGGACCGCCTTCGCTGCGGAGTGGAGTGTCTTGATACAGGCGACGGAGCGGTGGAAAAGTGGGAGGGCAGGATACAGGGTCAAATCGGTGGAACAGTGAGGCAATACACGTTGATGCTGTGGTGCAGTTAAAAGGAAATGGTGGAATTTTGAAAACGGCTCATGCAGAGAACGAATTACAGTCGAGTGGTGATCGGTCAGATATCATGCAGAAATTGTTGGACGTGTTGATTCAGTGAAATGAAACACGCTCTGCTCATCAATTATCCATGAAATATAAACCCAATATAAATAAGGCAATATATGCGTGTGTATGGCACTAGAACAAGTTACTGTAAGCGAACTATTAGTAGCAGATGGGACGTGCGATTTCCGCCGTCCAGCTGCGATCCCGAGCTGCATTATGTCGCTGTGAAACTGGTAGCTCAGGGTCCTGTGCCGCAGCTGATCTCCGCCCTGACCGGACCATCCGTGCCGCCTACTGGTGCTGGGTCCGACGGCTCCGGTATATACCAGTGACCTCGATCCGCCGACCGGTCCCGTCCTGCCGGGATGACGGCCGAGCTGGCACTAGCCGGGTCTCCTGCTAGGCTGAGAGCTGAACTGAGACTAATTTATCCTGTCCTGCCGGGGTGAGGCCTGAGGGCTGAGCAGGGGCTACTATGCCCTGTCCCGCCTGAGGGCTGGACTCGCTCGTCCGGCCAGTGTGCGGCGGTGGGGAGCGATTCGCTGTGTCACGTCGGTCTGCTGTCGGTGCGCGGTCCCGGTCACATGGACGACAGGTGGCCGACAGGGACACTGGGGAAACTACACTGTGCCTCCCCAGGGAAACTGCCGACCACGACGCTGGGGAAGCTATATCCCCCTCTCCGGGAGACCGCTGACAGTGCCCCTGGGGAAACTGCTCTGTCCACACTCCACACTGTCTCCCGGGGGAGCCTTTATGTGCAATTGCGAACCCAAAATCGTTTTATTTTCCTCTGAACGGTTTTATTACCCCAGGAAGTGACAGTATGTCGAAAGGCATGGCGCGCGGTAAGTAGGAAGGACTGAAGTCCTGAATGCTTATCCACGATCCGTACCACTGTGAGCAGTTCCTGTTAATCCGTGCCAGGTGCCTGGCTCACGTATATCGGCCGGCCGGTCTGCCGGCTGAGTGACCAAAGTGACCTGCCGCGATCGTATCAGCCTGGCGGGCGGAGCTGTGCGGAAAACAGAGCGTCTTCCTGCTGCAATACATACAATAAAGCTCCATGTGTATACATGATGTGATGGTTATCTTTCACGTTGTAAATGTAGTAGAGGAAATATGTGTATTTGTGCTAGTTGGACGGTGCTTGAGTTGATCACTATGATCAGGTTACGAAAATACGACGTCACCAATTTCTAGACATGCATTGGTGGCACGTAAATCAGAGCCACCGTTGCACTAGTCCGTTCGTTTCTAGCACCATCCTTTGGTGACGTATGGAGCTGGCTGGTGTTCTCTCGTCGCAGCTCACGCGGTCACTGGGTTTATGGCCCAGCTTCGTGTCCGGTTTGTTTTGTTTTGTCCGTGTTTCCAGCCTCTGCTGCCGTCGTACCGCTTCTGGCTGGGAGTTTTGGGCACCGCCGCGGGGGTCGCTATCGGTGTTGATCAGTACTTGCTGCTGCTGTTGTAACACCTACCACTTCTTCGATGATCAGAGGAACTACGCTCGCGAAGAGAATCCACCACTTGTCAATGATGATGCCAGGGTGACACTGTAGCTGTGGCTGCTACCGCGGACTATTGTTTCCGCTATTGCATCGTTTCTGGTATCCCCTATCCACTGCTAGAACCTCGAGTCTATATCTTCCGACTCCGCTCATTCCTGCGCGTTATTTACCAGCCGTAATGAGTGCGGCGTGGTGTGGTGTGGTGTTGTGCGCGTGGTAATTGGACGCTGCAGTGCACTGCCCGCAGGCTGCCGCCGCCCGAGGCTGACCTTGGCGGTAATTATGGGTCTGGCAGCCGCCCGGGGCGTCTCTGGGTGCCTCTATACCCCAGCAGCCCGGGGCGTCAGTGGGTGCCGCTGTTCCCGCGCCTGGGGCATCTGTACTCGCGCCCTGTGCAGGTGCCTCTATGCTCAGCCGCCGGGGCAGGTTCCACCACACCCAGCGTAGCTCTGCCGCCCTCCGTAAAAAAATCATATTTGCACCTGCTCCGCTAGATTCCATCGAGTCGGCTCGGGCCCGGCGCTTGGAGAGCGCGGCACCGCGAGGGAGCAGGTTCTAACGTGTACGACGCTGTTCTAATTTCCCATCGATGCTACTCTGGACGTGCCGTAACGTTTGGGAATCTCAGCGATTCGGGTTCAGATTCGGCGCCATTTGTGCAGCCTTGAAGTGGGGTTGTTTGTTTGTGTGGTAGATCTATCAGACAGTACGGTGAAGGGTCCCGGGTCGATCTGACTCGGGCTGTAGGTCACGAACACGATGGTTTGGGGTCATTCGATCGGTAGCTGTCCACGCACGACTTTCATGTCCATTTTCCCAACAAGTTCCTCATCTTACCACCAACAAGGGCCTCACCTAGCCTGTTCTACTTGCGACTGATCTAACTGATTCTTCCGGATTTAAAGATCCAAAACAGCCGGTGACCTAGAATCAGCGCCCAGCGCGCTATTGTCAATGTGCAGAACAATCCTCCGATCCGGCCTGCACGCGCAGCTCCAGGTCGGGGGTGGTCTCAGAGGTCATCCCGCCGGTCCGCTGGCCGCTGAGGTCACTAGCACGCTGCCCTGGCCGCACGGCACGTGTCTCCCGGATCGGGGCCGCTCCGGCCCAGTTCCGGCCGAGTTGAGGACCTCTGCGTGTCGGCAGTGGGTCGCCGGCCGACCGGTTTGGGAACCCCGGCCGGCGGCTGTGGAGCAGCGGCGGCGCGGCGGCGGCGACAGCGGCGCAGTGTTGTGCCCGCCGCCGGCCGGCGCACCTCGCCGAATCGCCGGGCCGCCCAGTCGCGCGTGTGTGGATGTCGAACGGCGCTCTCCGTTCGTTCCTGTGTGAGGTGTGAGTGTGAGTGTGCGGCGGAGAGAGAGAGTGGCAGGGCTGTGAGCAGGAGGTGCGACACACGTGTGAGATGAATCACGGGTACGGCACGCGACACCCGGGCCGGGCGGGTGGCTACCTGAACCACGGCGGTCACAACCACGGTCACCACGGCGGCCACAACCAGCACGGCCAGCACGGCGGGCCGGGCGCGCACCACGGCGCGTTCCCGGCACGGCGCCAGTTCGGGGCGGCGCGCGGCCGCCGGCCCCGTCCAGCCGACCTCAACTGGGCCTCCCCGGGCCCTCCTCTGGGTCCTCCGGGCCCCTCCGGCCACCTGGGCCCTGGCGGAGCTCCGCCGGGGAGCCACGCGGCCGGCGCCGGCCCCATGGGCCCCCGAGAGGCCTACTGCGGCGGTGGAGGAGGTGCGAGGTACGAGTCGGTGGCGGCGCGCTACAGACGCCACAGCTCGGGCGGCGCGCCGGGGAAACCGGCCGGGCCCGGCTCCTGGGGCTCGCACAGCTCGTACAGCTCGCAGAATTCGTACAGCTCACAGGGCTCATATAGCTCTCAGGGCTCCTATAGCTCCCAGAGCTCGTATAGCTCCCAGAGCTCGCACAGCTCTGGCTCGTCTCACAGCGCGTGTGCCGAGGAGCCGACGTCGAGCGAGAGCGAGGTGGCGGCGGACGGCAGCGACCCGGCAGAGCTCAGCCAGGTCATACCGCGCATCATCAAGCCCAGGAAGCGCCGCAAAAAGGAGAAGAAGCCCAAGATCCCGCGGATGGCGGCGGCCGCCGAGGAGCGGTCCGGCGCCGTGGTGCCTGCGGGCCGCTGGGAGCGGCGCCCCTCCAGTCTGGGCACCGACACCCAGTCGTCGAGCGAGTCGGCGCTGTCGGCGTTCGGCAGTGAGTGGTACCTGCCGGGCGAGCAGCTGGACGCGCTGTGCGCCGAGCTGACGGCGTTCCGGCTGCGGCGCCAGCTGACGCCGCCCGAGCTGGCGCTGACGCCGCCCGACAGCCCTGGCGCCGCCGCCGGCTGGCGTCAGCTGAGCGGGCTCCGACGTAGCCGCAGCGAGCCGGCGCAGCGCGCGCCGCTCGACGACCGGCGCGCCTTCAGCTGCCCCAGCTCACTCGAGTTCAGAGAGGCGCCCCCAGGTGAGTGGCCTGTGGCAGACAGCGACGGGCCTGGGTTCGATTCCCGGCCGAGGGAATGTTTTCAAATGCTACCCAAAAGCTGGACGCGAAAGCTGAAAGCTGTCACTCTCATTGGATTTTGAATATTTTATGTTTTGTGGTCGCGTATGATGAATAATGCACAATAGAAAGGCAATCAATCGGAATGGAGTCGTGCTTTCTCCGGAGTGAAAGACCTCTGTGCACATCTGTCAATCTTCGGTCGCTGCAGGCTGCATTCCCTATCGACTGCTTATCATTCTTGAAAGGCCCGCTGTGGACGGCATTGATTTCGACTGCTCAACCATTGAGTGCTCCGTCACTGAGCGGCTGTATGCACTGTGCAGTGGGAATAAGCTTTACGAGCTCTGCACGCTACTCACTTAACGATTTACCCCTCGATAACATCTCGTGTATCGGGATTGTCATTCCGGCCGTAATTTCTCGTCCATCTGTGAACCGATGCTATCTGTGCTTATCTGCTCGGATCGCAATCAGTCGCAATCAGTCGCTGACGGCTGCAGCCCCCTTTGTGTGGCGCTGTTGACCAGCAGCGTGTGTTGCTTCGTGACCAATTAACTGGGCCCTGTGCGCTGAAAAAGGCGCTCGGCGCACTGGAACCTGTTCCTCTCTGTGCCGGTCGGCGGCGGCAGAAAACTGGGCTGGTGGCCGGCCGCGCCGGCGCGGCTTTCTCTTTCTAGCACGGCCCGGACGGCTGTTTTCACCTGCATTGTGTTCTGTGGACGGCGGCGGAAGGCGAATAGCGCTGCACTGGACCGAGACAGCCTCGGCCGGCTCGGCGGCTGACCTGACCTGATGATTGACATGACCTGACCTGACCTGACCCGACTCAGGGGCGGATGTGGCCCGTATCTTAGTGTTCTCCATTTCGCTGTGAGCCAGCGGATCCACATACACTGGCCGCCCATCCGGGTAGCTATTTACCGTTCACTTGTAGGAGACGTCCCTGGCCTTCAGTCTCGTTTCCATTAATAGCCACGGTTACGAGACCGAACTTTTGAGCTGGGTACTTAGTAAGTACCCCACCCCTGGATGGGGCAGGGTGTAGGTCAAAGTCCGCTTACAAAACTGGCCCTTTAACCCCCCGAGCTCGGGGTTAGCGTTTAATCTGATCTCAGATTGGCTTACTCAGAACTCTGCGCAGAAAATACTTGACGGGGTTTGTGTTTCACAACAGTTCACACTGGTTGCCGGACAAACCTCTTGTTTCTGCAGCGGTTATCAGATACTTCACCCCGGCCGACCGGGTCAGTCGGTGACCCCAGTGACGTCATCAGCGGTCCCCGGTGACGTCAGCGGCGGGTCGGACCGTGTCGCAACTGTGGTGTGTGCGGTACCGGTCTGTCCTGCCGCCTGTTCCCGCTGCTGAGAGATCACGGCGATCAGCGCATACATTCGATTTTTGACTCAGTAGAGTGGGTCGTCAGGTTCACTCACCTCTGTTTCAAACTATGTCCATTCTGACGTCGAAAATCAGCTTCAATGCGGGCTTTCAAATTTTGGTGCTCATTGTTTATGCGATTAGCACATTTCGCGGGCAGCTACCAACGACCGGGACAGATATGGCTGATGTCTCCTCTATTCTCCTCTCCTCTCTCCTTCTCTCTTTCTCTCCCCTCCTCCCTCTCCCTCGACATACCGGTCTCCTTTGATGTGTCCCGATCGGCCTCCTCGTCATGTGCCATCAAAAGGCGTCACTTACCAGCATCGCGCCGCGATTATCCAGTCATTACACGGCGGTCACACCGGCCGCTGCCAAATCGGGCTGCCAGATCCACCGTCCATACCGGGCTGCCAGATCCACCGTCCATTCCGAGCTGTCAAATACACTGTCCAATGTCCATACTGGGCCGCCAGATCCACCGTCCAAATCGGGCTGCCAGATCCACTGTCCATACCGGGCTACCAAATGTACGGTCCATACTGGGGCCGTATTCACGTCGACTTCGTAAGTCGATTTTCTTTCGTAAATATAATTTGGTATTCACGTCGACACTTCTTAAGTTTTTATCGACGGAGTTCACGTGAATAAAAAAAAATTACTTAAGAAGTGGGTCAAACTTAAGAAAATTCTTACGAAAATCATCGACGTGAATACGGCCCCTGGTCTACCAAATACACAGTTTAACTCGGGCTGTCGGATCCATAGTCCAAACCGGGCTGTCAAATACACTGCCCGATGTCCATTGCGGGCCGCCAGGTCTACCGTCCAAACCGAGCTGCCAGTTACACCGCCCGAACTGACCGGCTCGCCGATGACATCCTGTCGTCCCGAGCGTCGGTCACCTTGCCACACGAGTCGCGTGACCGGGCGTTAGTTTTACACCTTGCGACGGTGTAATTGTGCCGCGCGGAATGTCGGTGTTCGTGTAAAGTAGCGGACGGACGGCCGTCTGCGGGCGGGGTTGATTGGAGGCTGGGGAGGCGGCTGGTTAAAACTGGTCGTTAACGGCACCACGGAGACGCCACAGGTGTTATAGGCACCGGTCCTAGACAAATACGAAGTCTGCTTAAAATGGTTGTGTTTGTTAATTGTTGTTCTACTTTCCTAGCATTCAGCATTATTTTGGTTCCGTGGTGTCACGTCAGTTGACCACCAAACAAAGACATTCGTGAATGCTCTTTTCTTCTATGGGTGGCCGTATTCTCTGAACAAAATGTAATGAGCTCATTTTCACTTTGTCATTCATTATCACTTTCACTTCATCAAAATTTTATAGCCGTTTCCATTTGTTTATGTGATCTGCCATGCAGCACTGTCTTCTATGGACGGATTTCCTTTGAGCACAGCCCAATGCGACGCCGCTTACGAGGTCAAATCATTCGAGCCAAACGATTGCAGTACACGGCCGGCACGGATTGGTGAGTGGCAGAACTGTCCTGAACTGTCATAAGTCCGTGTCCTGGACTGTCAGACGGTGACAGCCTGTCCGGCTGGCTGTCCGAGTGTCCAGTCCCTACTGCCCAGTGTCCACGGGCCGCGGTGAACGGGCTGCCCGCGTGCTCCAGGGTTTTCACCACAGGCCGGGCGAGTTTTCAGCGGACCAGACAGACATAGTTTTCCCCGGGCTCCATTATGAGCGCCGACCGAACGGATGGGACACGCGTGGTGAAATAGCCGGGAATTCGAATTGCGCGGGCGGCAAATGATGAGACCATTTGAATAGAATGTGAATTCATCCGGCGTTCCTTTCAATTCAGCCCAGTTAGTCGCTGTTCATCCCTTTGTGAGTTGATTGGCATTGTCTCATCCAGTGTTGTGCCTGTTGACCACTGGTAACCCGTCGCAGTTCTGTTGGCTATGACAAGGCAACTGTATCATAGCCGTGTAACATGTGATTGCATGGGCCAGTGTGCCTGTGTTCTCCGCTGTAACATACAATGCTCCTCCATGTCCCGGTGTGACCCTTTGTGACCTGTTGTGTCGCCTATGTGACCCGTGTGACCTGGTGTGTCGTTTGTGTGACCTGTTGTGACCCGTTGTGTGTGTGACCCGTGTGACCCAGTGTGTCGCCTGTGACCCAGTCTCGGCCCGCGCTGCCCGCCGGTCCGTCCCTCCCACCACCGCCAGTCAGCCACCGTTACCCTCCACCGCTACTCGCCGGGACGGGCTGAGTCGATCGGCCGTGCCTGTGATACGCTACGCTGGGCACCGTGAATGATACTCGGGGCTGGGGTGGAAACAGAGTGGTCTTGGAGGGACAGATGGGTAGGCTGAAGTCAGGCATGCAGAGAAACGTCTGCTATCGAAGGGGTATGCTCGATGCTGGGCTAATGTGTTGTCAGAGTGAAGAAATGTGAGTAGGATCTGGAGGTTAAAACTTGCTTGAACTGGAGTTTGATGCGGAGGAATAGTCTGATGTTGACGTATACTAGCATGACGACATGTCAGTATGTCCGAGAGCAGCGGTGTGATCTATCATTCGACATCAAACACCTGGGCTGCGAGTTTCCTGGTCTCTCAGTCACCTGGTTCAGTATCCGTCAGCCCGCCTCAGCCGAGGGCGGCGCTGGTGCCAGTCGGGGTACTGGTCCCTCAGTCTCCCTCAGTCTCCTAGCTCAGTTTCCGCTCAGCCGAGGGCGGCGCCGGTGCCGGTCGGGTTACCGGTCTCGCCACACCGGCTGCCCTCCACGCTCTACAAACGCCCGGTGGTAGCGGGCTGTCGGTACGGCCGAGTCAGCGGTGTCGGAGCGACCGCCACGGGGCCGTGGCATCCACCCCGTCACCGTGACGGAGCCGTGTGCGTCCGAGTCGTCCGGGCAACCCGTGTCTGCCGGTGAGCGGGAGGGACGGCCACCTGGCTGTGTCAGACCCGGGCGGCTGTCTCGGTGTCAGCGTCTCTCTGTTATCGTGCTGCGGTGATCGCCCCCTGCACCGGCTGCGCTGCGCGGCACTGAAGGCTGCGCCGGCCGAGTGGCCGCCGCCCGGGGCTGCCGACCCCGCCTTGAACCGGCCCACTTTCTCGGCCCGGCGGCCGGTCCAGAAGCCGGCGTCACGGCTCGCCCGGAGAGCGAGTACGGCGGCAGCGCGCACTGTCTGCAACCGCCCGGAACGGCGCGCTGCAACGTAGCAGCTTCGACTGAACTCAGAAGGGGTCACAGCTAAAGGAGCTGTCAACGTAAAGACTTTTCCCTCGGCACTACCCTTGGGTAGATTTATTTTTGCCTGACGCGGTCCCTGTTTCACATGAAATGAGCAGTTGCAGTGGTGGAGCACCCACGTCGGATCTATGTATGGGAATGGTTACTGGCAGTGAAAAATGCTACTGGTTCGCCTGGCTGGCTGGCCGCTTTAGGCCACGTCTGCCCGTGTTTACGATTGCCATGTGAATGGCGGTGGATCCTCGGGCGAGTAGTGTAGTGCAGGCCGGATCACGTGCCTGGCCGAGCGATTACTCGGCGTGATTGTGGCCGATTGTAGCGGGCGGCGTGTAAAAGTACGGGCGACATGTTTGTTTGAC